TCTCGCCAATAGGAGTGTACTCACCAGCTTAGCAATAAACACCATGATAATATATGTATGTAACGTATGCTTTGACGTGAATAACTGACTAAACTTGGCGCATATTAGAAGGGATACCCCGGGTGAATCTGCCCCAGTGGCCGCTGAGAGGTCATATTCGTCTAAATATAGTAAGAAGTACACAATTTGATACTAAACTGAATTAATGAGGGGGTATTAACACGTCCAGAAGATGTAGTAGTAACGCACAAGGCTACGATCACAAGGGGGTCTTGTTTAGCCTAAATTTACAGCCATTCGGCGATGACTTCAAAGCGAGAGTGGGTCACGTACTGTATTCATACAAAACAAGTATCGATGCCATTCGTATAGAGTTTAACCACTGCAATCTCTGGGACGGAAAATGGTAAAAAAATTAAAAAAAAAAAATTTGTTTTGTTCTCGGTATATTATATGTAAAATTACTAGTTAAGTAGTGTTTTTTTTTACCTTGACCATATTGGCTTAAAGTTTCTTTGATGATCAACCCGTTCTGCAATAAAAATGAGCTTAAACAAATGCAAGCCAACCTGAAAACCCAGCAGACACATGGAACATAGCTATCAAGAAGAACACGTGACCATGTTACCATTGGACAAGTGTACTCAGGCTCTTTGGCACATTATGTTATGCATGTTTGATCACGAGATTAAGGGGCTGCGTTTTCACGTTTTTTTTAAATCTATGCAATTCTAAGCCAAATTTACCTTTGGTACTAAATGAGTAAACATGTGATATTTCATGTGACGTAGCGTATATTTATGATAATAATATGCAAAAAGTGATATATGAAACTTTCTGCTTACAACCACCTTCCATGTTACAACTCTTCCTAGTGGGATTCGGATTCATAACACGATCTCAATCCTACTTTAGTTCAATAAACTTTCTCTTGTGTTTAGTATTGAGTTCCTGTTCAACAGCAACTATTCTAGACTGTTGTTTTCCGGGGAAATTCCAACATGCCTTTACGAGGAAAACGAGAAAGCTCGATGGATTATTTATGTTAGTACATGTAATGTTAGTTTTTGAGGGCTGCTGAGTCCAAAACAGTACACTAAATGAACCAAAAAGCATGCTTTAGAGACGTATCTAAACAGAATTTCATTTGCCTTAATCCATTTTGGATAAGAATCCAGAATGGGTAAAACGCGCACCTTTCACACAGATTAAAAAAAAAGTTTTAGGCAGATATTTTTGGTCGAACATTATCTCCGACAACGGATGATCTGGCGTTTCGCGTAACTCATAGGAATTCAGTTTTCTGTTATTCACCCGTGACGGCGGTATCAAGAGTACCATTCTTAAACATAACTATTAGAAGGATTTCCTAATTCTCTGCAGGAGATGTACGTTGGAGATATCACAGAGACTGCCGAACCGGGCATGGTTTAGTGTAGTTCATGGGTTCAACATCTGGAATATACGAATTGTAAAAATAATGATGATAAAGTACCCTAGGATATCTGCCTGGATATGTGCGGGTATGTGCATGTTTATCTGTTTCGTCCGACGGTCTCTCCGCGATGCGCGAGAAGCAGTCGCACGCGCAACAAAAGTTCTAGTAGTGGATATATAGATCATCTAGCCCACCCCGGTGACGGTTGGAGTTTAATTGGCGACGGCGGAGATGGATGCATAAGAAGGCACCCCCACGATGCGCATGCGCCAACATACAGCATCGCATCTTCTTAATATACCAACAATGCCGAACTACGTGTCAAGTTGACAACCTTCGCTCTCAATACACTCGTATCTTTGTACAGGTATCTGCATCAATGTAAAAAGAAACACGATCAAGGGAAACGTCATTAAACTTTAAGGTCGTTTGATTAAACAACCAAAAGGTCAATGGTTTTTTTTTTTATACAAGAATTTCTAAACAGGGTTTGCCCTAGGCGATCTCAGAGGAGATTTGAAGGCGTGGTCTTCAGCCCACAACAGTTACCGCACCCGTCTCGCATCGTCTGCAACGACGACTAAATATTTATACAGTCGTGACCACTCTTCTAGTAGATTGACAAAATGGCATAAATATTTTCTAAACCTTTGTTTTAACGGGCCTTTATCTGCACATCGTTAACCCTCTGCATCCCAAAGTTAACTTCAGGCATCATCCACAAAATAGTTCCAATTATATTCTGCTATTTTTCACGAAAAATGTTGAATAAAATTTAAATTTTTTTTGTCAAAAAACAAGAAGGAATGTCACATTTTGTCTGTTTGGTCCAAAATTAAGATTGAATACTGTAACAGTGGAAATCACAGAAAATGTGAACACATTTATCCCATTTTGAGCGGGAACAAATTTGGCGCTCAAAGGGTTAATGAATAGTACAATCTAATACAACACTTCTATTTTATTGTACGAGTTCGTATAGACTGTAGAACTCGATTCGTGTTCTGTATGGTTCAATAAGATACATGTATAGTATCACTTCAAGTGTGCCATGCAACGTACCACATCTACAAATACCGGACGAGTGTTAGCATGACTTGTGACAACGTTTTGGGGGACAATAAACTGCACAACATGTTGTATCTACGAGTTGTTGTCGTCGTTTGGACGGATGGTGTGTTGATTGTGCAACCATATTTAAAGGGACAACAAATTTACTTTCTGGATTAAAATAACAATGGATAACAAAAGATAGATTAACATTGTAAACAACATAAACAGAAGTGTCCCATGATTCTTTGGTGCAATCCATGGGATTGAACGGTTCCCTTTTAAAGTGTTGACATTTCGAGAAAACCGTGCATTTTAAGACGCGGTGTATGTGTCGCTTGTCATGTATACGGGGGTTCCTACCATAACGGTAAATAGTGTAGTACTAAGTACCGCAGGCCATTAACTGGTATGAATCCAGTTTTTTTCCAATACTGTCATTATCGAATTCTTCCACTATAATGGCTCTGTGCTGCACCATTTTGAAGGAGTATCATTATTGCCGTGTATTGGAGATGTGTATACAATTCAGACACAACCCTATCCTCCGTAAATATTCGACCCATAGCTTTTATTTGTGGTGTTATGGTCACAACTATTTGTGATACAGCTATTTCATTCTGGTGCACGTGTGTTCAGTCGTTAGTTCAGATCAGCGGATATATCAGCTGGCCACTTGAAGTAACAAGGTCATCCGGGATGGCAGTCATGATAACGAGTAAGAATACCATCATCGTTGTGAGGATTAAGTGGTTCACCTCCTATACAAACTTACTAAAAATTTAATGGCGTGATGAATATTTTATAGTTTACTCGCAAATTATTATGAGAATCACATGTCATCAAAGTCGCGACCTACCAATCAATCAACTAATCTTTAATACTCCGATCCTGAACGCGCCGCCATAACATCGCATCGTAACACCACCATTATATCGCACTGTGACACCCATCATGGATTCGCACTGTGACACCACCATGATATCGTACTGTGACACCCATCATGGATTCGCACCGTAACACCACCATGATATCGCACTGTGGACCCCGACATGATATCGCACCGTAACACCACCATTATATCGCACTGTGACACTCATCATGGATTCGCACCGTGACACCACCATTATATCGCACTGTGACACTCATCATGGATTCGCACTGTGACACCACCATGATATCGCACTGTGGACCCCGACATGATATCGCACCGTAACACCAACATTATATCGCACTGTGACACCCATCATGGATTCGCACCGTGACACCACCATTATATCGCACTGTGGACCCCGACATGATATCGCACCGTAACACCACCATGATATCGCATTGTGACACCACCATGGAATCACACAATATATGCATATATTAAACACAACCGAAATAGTATATCTCGTGGTACGTAGGTTTATTGCTTAGGCCAACAATAATCTATGATAATACAACTATGTGATAAGAATGCGCATGTGTTGCTAAAAATGTCCGATGTGAGTGTGCAATGTCGGCCACGCCTATTAATTAATTAAATTAGAGATTTTGTGACAAATTACATTGACTTTTATGTTAGATACCGAGAAGTCATTCAATGTCTTTCACCCCCGAGTAAAAAATGTATCATAGGAAAATTCAATTCAATTAAAACAACCATTTGACTTTTGACCGTGCAGAAATTTTGAACTTCGACTCCAGAAGATTAGCCTGCATCCAGCCATTCCGTTTGAAGATTTTTCAAAATTACATAATCATACACGGCATCTAGTCTACAGAAAAACCAACTTTAAATTCAAAAATATCTGTAACGAATCATCGAGCTTCTATGGAGAGAGTCCTGCAGCGCATGCGTAGTCTCATGTATATTATGAAAGTCCCCTTGTCAAGGGTCCTTTGGGACACGCGCGTCACATTTGAACACTCATGATACAGAGACGGCTTTTTTTTTGGATAGAATCAGTCCTTCGTTTACATAGCAAACTTAGCGCTGATATTGACTTTAGTTATTGACCGTGGCCGTCGGTGCTCTTTAGAATATCATAAAACAAGTGGAGGTATTTTAAACCACGTTAACAAGAATGTGGGGGTGGGGGTTACGATTTAATCAAAAACACGATCTCAGATTAACTTATCTTGTTTTAAATTCACAGAAATTCACACATGTTATAAAAAGTTATATGTTTGATGGACATGATTGACTCGTGTACAGAAATCGTTTATTATCTATATATATATGAACTCTTCCCTGTTTTAGTGACATGTCTCAACACACGATGAAAACAAGACAACAAAGCGGGACACATAATTGCTTACATAGTTTACTTTATATATGACGAGTTGGTGACAAGTAATTATTTGAGTTGAGTTTGTTAACACGTATGTACATATATAATAAAAAGAATTTGACAAACAAAAGGAATTTGCCAAGACAACAAAGCTGTAGGAAATATATTCCTTTGTGAATACTACGGTGCAGTTACATCGTACTCCGTGATTCTATAAACGACACATTCTCAAAATGACGGCGTCTCAGTTCAACATACTAGTAAACCACAGAATCACGTGTATGATTTTATACGTATATCTGGTACTATATGCCGGGGCATCGATCGTTGTCCGACATGACGGTGATTTTATCATCGGGGGTTTGTTTAACCTGCATAGCAGCACTTACATCGTCGATGATACTCTTTCGCGAGGGCCGATAGAGGAAACATGTGTTGGGTTCTCGTGGGGTGGGTTTCTACGCTCACAAGTTATGACCTACGCAGTCGATGAGATAAACAATCGCAGCGATATTTTGTGTAACATCACGTTAGGATACGATATACGAGACGTATGTTCATCAACATCAAAATCCCTGTCGGAAACTTTTGATTTAATGGTGAGAAACGAAGTTCAAGTCGGCGCGGTTATTGGGGCCGGCGGTTCGGATACAACCATGGCGGTCGCCGAACTACTGAGTGTGTACAACGTCCCGATGCTTAGTTACGCTGCGACTACGTCAATGCTTGACGACCCGGTAAAGTACAAATCTTTTCTTCGTACCGTACCAAACGACATTCATCAAGCTAACGCCATGGTTGAGCTTGTGACTTCGTTCGATGATTGGAACTGGGTAGGTATTATCGGGATCGACAATTTCTACGGACGGCCAGCCACTGCAGAGTTCGAGGTGCTTGCGAAGAAAAGGGGAGTATGCATTGCCTTATACGAACTTATTCTGCCAAATTGCAGCGATGACATCGTCGATGACGTCATCGATAAAATATATGAAAATCCATCGGCAAAGGTAATCGTCGCGTTTCTGTACTGGGATGAAATATCTAGAATAGTACAAAGAATGGCACTTCGGAATATAACAGGTAAGACGACTACTAAAATCGGAGGAGAAACATTCTCCTCACAGCCACAATTCTTCCATATTCCAAGAACAGGCCCGTAGCCAGTACTTTTGAATAGGGGGTTCGAAAACAACAATAAATGATATATTTGATGTGAAACGTGTGAATTTTATAATATTTAAAAAGTGTGTTTGAGCTCTGTTACATACATTTTTATATTCTCCGTTTTAAATTCAATTGTGTTAAGTTGGTAAGTTATTCCACATAATATTTTTGAACTATTTTACCATTTTATAGAAGGGGTCCTAGGCCATTCCCCACCCACAAACACACCCACACCCTTGATCCATTTCGGCAAAATGTTGTACACAAAAAAAGACAAGACTGTACGTATCTTAGCATTATTGTCCAAGCATTTTAAGGTAGAATGCTACTCACGAGCTTTTTCGCTCTTCACAGATGTTAGCGCACATAAAAGTGACACAATTTCATGTCGAAGTCTGTCTACAATTATTCATTTTAGTATTATTCAGTTATGTAATTTTATTTCTGTACAGGGCCTCACCACATCGTACAAAATGTAATGGGTAGAAAAGTGCATATCGCGTTTTAAACACAATACAACATCCATGTAAACATATGGTACTAAGTTAAGCTGGATTCATATTCATCTCATCGCTTGAAAACTTTTAAAAGATACAAAACTAGTTGATATATGGTGTGGCAGTTTGTATAGCGACGATCATTAGATCATTATAAAATGAACATATAAAAACAAAGTGAATTTCATTTTCTATCATGATAAATTCAAATGTATCACTGCAAAAACTAAAAAAATATTGATCTAACTGTATTTGTGTGTGTGTGCCTAATTCAACATTATGTTTATGGCCAAAACAGCGAAAACTCGTGAGTATATATTTTAGTCTATAATTGCTTGCCAATAAATCTCCTAGGTTATAATACTACATTGATTTTTCCGAAAGTACACAGCCTGGATGATTGTGAAATTGAGGCATGCCATTCTTGCTGACAACAATTTTTTTTATTCTTTGAGTAAATATCCCTAAGAAATTTGCAGTATCTGCAACTTGTTTTTCAAACCAGACAATGCCGAAACCGTATTTGAACAGGAGATTTTTATGTGGGTTTCCCAAGTAAGTCTGCCGGTCTTGTCTAATCGTTTACGTATGATATAACATGTTTTGGGGCTCCAGCTATTTCCCAGACTTACTTGGGAAATATGTTCAAATATATCTGCAAAATGTTGCCTGTACCCTCTCGATTTTCGAATTTTGGTACCCCCTATCGCTACAATAAGAAATAGCTGGCACAATGATTGCATCAAACAAATTAAATGCACTAACCAATGGCATACTACCAAGTTTCTTGCAGTACGTGAATTTGTTGGTTTACTGTAAATCTGTTTTTAGAGGGCGGTAAAATAATATGCATATAGTAGCAGTTTAGCAGCGGTCTCAATAAACTTCAATGACTACATCTCCTTTTTATAAACCCACTAAAAATATAGAAAATTTTCTAAGACATCAAAAAAAAAACGTGTAAAAAAAATATGTTTTAAAAATATGGTTTATCGCATAGTTTAAGTGCTGAAGCAACACTGTGGGATAAATTTTTTTAATGATGTTTTCAACCCTTAGCTGTACACTATGCCCAATAACACAGGCTACACGTACTAATACAATAAGTTGACTACATTTGGCTGATACACTTAGAACAAAACAGTATATATGCCATCATTAACTTGAAGAATACAAAACTAATGAACCAATATGAAAGTACAGTGTGGTGTTGCCGTCTCAATCCCGTTCGAACCCCACACTTTACTAACTGAGCAAACACTGGCACAAGACAAACGGACCTATTCTGTCAGGACCACCACATCCTTCAGAGAATGACTACCATTACATTATTGTTTCAATGTTGCTTTAATATTTAACTGCAGCTGCTTGAACGCGATCTTCATTACACCATCGCGGAATCACCGAATAAAAGCTTGCCCATACATAACAATCTGTTTTGATTGGCTGCTGTTGAACTGAGACGGCGTAACTTCACGATTGACGTTTAAAGCTCATCATGATTGCCACCTAAATGCTCATTGCTATGCAATTTCGACCGAGTCGTTACCTCACTGAGTCAAGTGATTTAAACGATGATAATTATTTTAATTAATACTGTTTGTTTTATTATGTTCTAATCTACTATCATAAATCTATTCACTTCCAAAAATTTAGGG